TATATATATATATATATATACATATGTCCTTGAAATAGATCATATACGTTAAATCATTTATAGTTTCGAGAAAAACGGTATAGATATGATTATAAAACATAAGCTATATATGCAGGAGATTAGCATTAATTTACGTTCAGATACGGAAGGCTTATATCATAACTATGTTAGCATTGTAAAAGATCTAAATTAAATATAACAACGGAGCAAAAAAATAAATATAATAGGCTAATGAGATTTAGCAACGATAAACGGCGCAATTATTTAGTGAACAATCAATATTCAGATATTGGATTGATATCTTCTTTATTTTGAACGTTTCGATTCTCTTTGGAGTCCTCCTCAGCAAAGACTCCAAAGAGAATCGAAAACGATCAAAATAAAGAAGACATCAATCCAATATCTGAGTATTGATTGTTCACTAAATAATTGCGCCATTTATTGTTGCTAACTCTCATTAGCCTATTATATTTATCTTTTTGTATTGTTTAAAATTCTAGAGTTCTAATATAATTATTGTTATTGTAACAACGAAGCTTATAATGTTTTTTACTTTAACTTTTGAACTTTATTACATTAACTTAGCTATTATGTTTATATGAATTTTGTATTTGTTTATAATTGTTTATTATCTTAGTTTATTATCCCCTTATATGTTATTTAATTTATTTGACCGACACGTTATATATATTACATAAATCTGATCAGTTATATTCTTGACGCTCTAAAGTAAACATGTGATCATAATAAGCGTTATTTAATTAATTCAAATTATCATTGTTACCGAATAAAGCTTAATGTGATTTGATTCAAAGTCTCAAGATGATTCTTTTTTGTGTGTTGAGGTGAGCCACTTCCCTAAAAATTATTTTTTACTATTCGAAGGAAATCAGCCAATCACAGGTACATGTTAATAGATTTTACAACATCAAATCTGCAAATATGATGGGAACTCTACAAACAAAAAGAAATAATTAAAAAGTTGTAATTTATTTAAGAACACTTCAAAGAGAGTCGAAATGTTCATGTAATTCATTTTGATTAATAAATAAAAGTAACAAGAAACATTCTTTAACTTTGTATGTCAACGACAACGCTGCACTCTCAATCACCCTTGGCATTCTCTATTTCTTATTTGATTTTGAGAATCCGTAAGAAGATTACTTTTTATATTTAGACTTAATTTATAATTTTTTTTGGCGATTTTTGACAGTTTTATTACAAAATAAATATGGCTATCGAACAACTTTTTGAAAAATTCGTAATATTAACATATTTTACACATGTATTGTATTTAGCTTTTTATAGTGTCGAGCAGTGTAACATTGTATCACAGTTGGAACACTTTGTGTAAAACAGTGTTACACTTGTATAAACTTGTTGAAAAACACCTATCTATTTAGATGATTAAAGAAGTCATATTAGGTGTTTGAATTAATTCTCGCTATATTTTGCTATAAAAACTCATGTTTCATTAAAAAAGTATCTGATATTTTATTGTCCATCGAAAGATACTTTTCCCACTTTCGGATAACAAATGAATTCCGCGGTAGAAAAATTCAGATTCTTTCAAGATAATCCAGTCATCAAGTCATTTTTTGATATCTTCGAAATAACTGAAATGCTGCTCAGAAAGACAATGCTGTATCAATCAAAAATGGTAATCTGAAGGAGCAATGGTGAATAAGGCAAATGAGATAAGACATCCCATCCAAATGTCTCCAAGATTTCCTTCACTAGTTCTGCAACATATGATCTAGCGTTGTCATGAAGAATAATTTTGTCATATCTTTCGACATATTACGAGCCGATTTTTCTTTGAGTGTTCGATTCAAATTGAATAATTGATGTCGATAACGTTCAGCATTGATTTGACTCACATCTGTCTAGCTGGCTCCTCCACTTAATCAAATCTTAATAAAAAAATAATTTTTTAAAATAAATGTGCTATTTATGCGTTATTCATATCAGCTAAAAATTTTGCGCTCATTCCGTTTAGGTAAAAAAAAATTTTTTGTGGGAGGCTGAGTAGGCAGCCAGTCAGCCCCCCACTCGTTAAAAACAATCGATTTGGAAAATCAAATACAAGATTTATGCGCTATTTTTGCGCTACTATTTCCAAGTATTTTCGATTTTTGCGCTGCAACTCTTAAGTCACTTCTCTCTTGGAGCGAATAGGTATAATCGCTCCTAAGTCGTTTTAAATTGCAAAATTAAATACTCTGACAAAATAATTCTCTGATTTATGCGCTACTATTTCTAAACTATTTCTAATAGCAAAATAAATGTACAAGTTGTTATATACACCATATAAAGGACAGACAGTACAAATTTATTTTATATTTTCATCAATATATTTCAAGAAAAAAAAATTCACATAGAACAAAATTATTATCAATCCTATTTATTATATTTAATGTATCTTTGACTTTTTCCTTCCACAAAATCTTTTTACATCCTCATCTCTTCTTATGCAATTGCTTGTAATTCATAGCGCATAAATAAAAAAAAGACTTCGATTGATTAAGCATGTATTTTCATAATTTTTCATGAATTATAAATATTAACGTTCGCTCTAAGAAAGAAATGCTTTAAGTTGTAGCGCAAAAATCCAAAATGCTTGGAAATAGTAGCGCATAAATCAGAGAATTATTATACACAGTCAGATTACTTAATTTTGCAGTTTTAAACGACTTAGGGGTGAATATGGCTTTTCGTTCCAAGAGAGAAGCTTTAAGAGTAGCAGCGCAAAAATTAAAAATATTTGAAAATAGTAACGCATAAATAGCGCATAAATCCTGTATATTTGATTTTTTAAATCGATTGTTTTTAACAGGTGGGAAAGCTGACAGGCTGCCTACTCAGCCCCCCACAAAAAATTTTTTTTTTAGCTAAACGGAATGAGCACAAAATTTTTTGTTTGCGGATATGAATAGTGCATAATTAATAGCCCATTATTTCATAATTTTTTCATTAAGATTTGGTTAAGTGGAGGGTCAACTAGGCAAACGTTGACTCGATTGCAGCAATTCATAGTACATTACACCGACTTGATCCTAAATAACTTTCTTTCCATGAGTATTCTGTTTTGAGTCTTGATATTAATAGTTTGCCGGGACGAACTCATGATTTCTTGCGCTTAGGATTGTCGTAACACATCCATTTTTCATCGTCAGTCACAATTTGATGTAAAAACAATTTTCGTTTTTGTCTTTGAAGCAGCAATTTACAAATGGTTAAACTTTTCGCAATGTCTTTTTTACTTAATTCATGTGGGACTTAGCTTCCTAATTACTAGATCATTCCCTTTGCTTTTAAACATTTGCTAATGGTTGACATTTAATGTTAACTCATCGACATTTAATGTTTCCGATAATTTTTTGAGCGTCTGACATGAATCTTCTTGAAGTAATGCCTCCAATTCTCCATCTTCAAACTTTTTCGGCTAATCAGGGCGCTCTTTGTCATTCACGTAAAAATCGTTGTTTTTGAATCTTCTAAATCAATCTCTGCAAATTGTTTCAGATAGAGTATGCTCCCCATAAACCTCCACTAGCAAACGATGACTTTCAGCAGCAAATTTCTTGAGATTAAAACAGAAAAGTAATACCGCAAATGTTCTTTTTTTGGTACGAAACCCGATATTTTTAATACGATAAAATTTTGTTCTTTGCATTTGATCAAATGTTACGTACTGATTATTAAAATTTATTGACATTTACTTTTATACATCAGCAATCACTTTCGGTCATGTTGAAATAGCACAAATACTGATTTCTTCCAACATCGAGAATTAATTCAAGCACCTAATAGTTTATATATTTGTGGCTTGTTTCTATATAAAATTAGCTATATAAAAAGGAAATGAATTTCATAATGCAAACATTATATTTTTATATTATGCATTTTTCTTTGCAAATTGTATAGTTTAAGTAGTAATGAATTTATTGATAATATTATCATGTAATATATTTGTAATTTCCTAAATCTCTTTTATATTTTATTTATATTTTTTTCTTATTTTTTTTATAATACAGTTTTAAAAATAAAATCGACGAAATGTAACATAAATACGACATATCTGTCTGTAAGACACATCATAAACTATTCTAATCTTTATACAGTACTATTGTATTAAATATGTATTGTATTAAATAATGTATTATTGTATTAAATAGCCCTATCAGAGTTAAAGGCATTTTTTGTATTTACGGGAAAATTTCCAAAAAAAAGTAAATATCAAGTTACATATTTGCATTTTACACAATATAAAATTTGTGAATAAGAAAATATTTTATATCGAAGTGAAAATAATCTAGAAATTCTCATTCACATACATTCTTATATTTTACAGATAATGCCTGTGAAAGGAGAAAAATAGAAATATATAGCATTATTACTTAATCAATTTTAGACCTATTTTGTCATTTTTGCTCTTTATAACTAAAAGTTAATTACAAAATTGCAAACAGGATTATAAAAACTATTATATCATCTGATAAAAATACCTTCTAATTTGTATTTATGCTTTTAAAATTTTATTTTTAATTTGTGTTTTAGAAATATAGTCCAAAAATAAAGTGATGACGGTATTGTCGACTTCCTTCTATCTTTAAGACTTAATTTTATCATATAAGATAATTTGACAAGAAAAGACCATAAGTCATTCGATTCTGTGACGATTTAGACTTTTTACAAATGAATACGATTCAATGGTATAGCTATCGAGGAGCTAAATACAATCAGGATTAATTTTTTGAAAAGTCATGTTACCATTGCGATTCTGTGTTAGAATCAGATTATACTCACGTTTTATTTTTGACGATTTCCGTGAGCGTTTGTACGATGGAATTTTCGGTTATGGTGTCGATGTTCAGTGTTAGTCCGATACCGGCATCTAGGATTTTACGTGCGTTGAAATACTGATCTCCAAAAAAAGGAATTGCGACTACAGGCACGGCATAGTGCACTGCCTCTTGTAACGACTGCAATCCGCCCTGCATCATGTACGCTATCACCTTGGGATGTGCTACATATATAAAAGCAGCATAAATAAAATACATAAAGTATCATAAAATGATGTTTTACGGATTATTTATTTTAGAAAATTACCGAGAAACAATGGATAGTAGTGCGAGTGGGACAGTAGTAAAAAAAAGTGGAGAGAGAGAGAGAGAGACAGAGAGAAAGCACGATGAGAGATGAAAGCAAAGTTCTAGTGTTGATTACGAACAATCGAGAGATGCGACGCGCGATTTCATAAAGATGTCTGCATTGTTATATTTTTTTTTTCGTTTCGCTATTTATTGCTGATTAATCGCATTTGAGCATCAACGCACTTGGAAATTCTGCCGATGTGCATTTTTTACCGTCATGCGAATGCCAGGGAATGAGATTTTTTTTTCATTATACGTTACACGACACACTTCTCAATCAGAATAAATTTTATCTGGAAAATTTGTACAACAGTAAAATTATTAAATACGCTGTTTTTAATATGTATTTTTACATTCATTAGAAAATTTTTTATGTAAAAATGAATATATGATTTCCTGTGAATATATGATTTACAGCAAATGAATTTTCAAATAATCCAAATCTTATTTATTTTAAAATTAAGTAATCTGTTATTATAATTTCTATGAGAACATTTTTGTAGTACATTACGAATATGAATGATGAAGATAATATGACTATTAAGGATAAATATCAAGTGCAGACGCGCGCATCGGAAGATATTACATAATGAATCATAGTACATCAATAATCTTCGAAGTTTCGATATAATTGCATCATTTCTTCTAGTCATCATTCGTATTTCCAACACTAATACGTTCTTCATGCAGGCAACCGCTACCTGTCTATCAATGTGTATAAAACTTTGTGCATGCTTATGCATTTGCATTGAGCCAGTTGCGTTACTGCCAACAGGAGTTGTTTGTCAGAATTTCCCGCGAGAATTTCACTGCCACATGCATCATGAGTTATCGTTTCACTTCATTCCGCTATACTAGTCTGTGGCTATATTTTCCTTGGTCGCGGCAATGTTGTTGGCAATTTTATTTTATTTCAATACTTACCCTTAAGCGACTTTTGTAAAAACGCGTTTCAACCATTCAAAGGCGAAAAAGGACCTGGTATCGACGTGTGAATCAGCCTTTCTTATATATGTTACTTTTCTCTTTGATGTAACGTGAGAGAGGAAGATAACATTGATCGAATTCAAACATCTGGATAACGTGATCTCAATCGAAAGACAGCTTTGATGATCATTTTGAAACGTAGCAGGAATGCCATTTCGATCGTTGAGATTTCGATTGAAATCTAGCCACGTGTCGTTCGATATAAAAGAAAACTCCTTTGGTCTCCTTTGTTAAGCGGAATAACATCGTGATGTAATAGCATCGATATGTATTCGCTTCGTGCATGATGATATGTAGCGCTGTTTGTCGGTCAAGTTTGGAACTTAGACTGAAACAATTTAATAAACGCGTGATGGACGCGAAAATAAAATTCTTACAATTTTTTTTTGCAAATTGCGTAATTTAAATAATGACTGTATTACTTATTAATAATATTATGTCGTTTTAAATGCTTGTAGTTTCCTAAATCAGTTTTATTTACTTATATTATTTTCTTTCTTAATTTTATCATAATATGATTTTAAATATAAAATCGAGGTGCAGCATAAGTCAATTTTACAGACAACTGTCTGTAAAACAAATCATGAGCTAACTTAATTTGTAATGTTGTTTTATAGTATCAAATAACTTATCGGAGCTGAAGATAGTGACACATATATGGAAAAGCCCTTGAAAAACCATCGCGTTATATATTCGCACTTTACAGAACAGCATAAAGTAAATACGCATAATTCAACAAAAATGTTTTATTTATCAAAGAAGATTCTGGAAAATCTTATATACATTCACTTGTAGATATTTTACAGATAATTTCTATAATATAAAAGAAAAAGAATAGAAATATGAATATATATATATAT